CAAGAGATATAGGCTTTTGACTCCTTCCAAATCACCAAATGATAATTTCACCCTTCTTCCAGATCGCTCCAAAGAACCTACACTGAATAGATTCCAATTTCTTAACTACTTCACTGGGATTGTTCAGAAGAGACATGTAATATATAGGTGGATTCACTAACGTACTCTTAATAAAGGTAAATCTCCCCCCCTTGGATAAAAAGTTTCTCTTCTAACCCGCCAACTTTCTTTCGAACCTCTCCACCACTGGATCCCATGTTTTCTCATCTTTATAGTTTATCCCTAAGGATAAAGCCAGATACTTGATTGAGAGTTCCACTCTTTAACATTCTCTTTCACCGAATCTCCATAGTTGTGGAGATTGTTATTGACACTTTTAACCTTCTCTTTTACCTATATAAAGACGTTGGATGTAATAAGGATGATATTGTTTGTTGTTCTTAGCTAATTTGACAGTGGAGGAAGCAGTCAGCATAGGTTCGGCAAGCTCTGATATCAGTTGTCAGGATTCTGGCTCATGGATTTCAACAATTGCACCGGAAATAGGAGGAAGAACGAGAGAGAATGGGAGAAATTTAAGGAGTGGAAGTAGAGAGAATAATGGTTGAAGAGTGGGAGAAGAGTAGGGGGGGATAGTGACAATAGTCTGCTTTCTCATTGATTTCAGCGAGCATCTAAATACTATTGTCTCAGCAATTAAGAAGGTAGCGGTAAAATTCCCTCACAGGACAATACAACTATAGCCAGTACAACCTAGTACACTAGTACATAATAGAATAGAAATTGCTGAAAACAAAATGCAACAAGGAAATGAAAAGCAACGTCCAAAGGAAACATTCCAAAGAAAACTCTCATGCAGGTCTGCCCTTTGAATTTATTCCTGCCTTTATGCTAGGCTCTTAACATAAACCAGAGGTAATTTGCTATCTATATTTTGGAATAGAACTTAGATATGCACTGGGGGTTTCTTAGTATCACATTTTATGTTTAAGCATCACATTTGAGGTTTGATTGCATCATGCATCATCACATTTAAGCTTTTGATTGCGTCATATAACAGAAAATTAAGATGATTCTTAAAGATCGTATAACAGAAAATTCAGAAGATTCTCATAGAACTCTGTTGAATGACTGGCTTCCTCGCAAAGGTGAGATTAAAAGGTATTTATAATGAGTCCTTGGTAACATTTGCCAAATATGACTTAAAAAAATACTATGCTAATAAGAATAGAAAAATTCAAATACTTAATTAGAATAAAATCCTAAAGTTATTAAAATCATAATAGTAGACAATTAAATAGTAGAGCAGTTGTGCACTTGGAAGTATTATAACTTCTAATCTACTCAGAGAGTCTGAATCTAATACATTATCAAGAGATCTGTAAGGAATAGAGAAGGCAATGAAGAATTTTCAGCAAAAGATTCTTGGGTACTTTTCATACTCTTGGAAATTGTTGGTTTCTCTCTGGATGAGCTCATACTACTAAGTATTCATCTTTTTTGACTTCTGAGCTTTATATTAAAAGACCCATAACAAGATAACAGAGTAAGTGCCTTAACAAATTGATATCAGAGCCTAGTACTATGGGAGATTTACATCCTTTCCAAGAGCAATTTGATGGCTTTCTGAAGGTGTATCTGGAAAATCACACCCATGCCATTTTGGAAGAAAGAATGATTAATTGGTGCAGACGTGGGAGCTTGCAACCTTGGACATACAACATCCAATGTTGGCTGACAGATTGGATATATTGACCAAATATCATTTGGTGCCTGTTTTGCAGATAGAAACATGGTGAAGGTAGCATTAACAGGGAGCAAAAGGAATGACAAGGTGATCTAAGCATCAGTTAGGATGCTGCTGTTTTGACCCTGGTGCCTAAACTTTCAAAATAGGACTTTGTCCATTATGATGGTTCCAGTGATCCATCATGCTGGATTAATCATTGAGTATCTCTTTAGGCATCAACAAACACCCGCAGAAGAAGAGTTAGGACATGCTTCCTTCCATTTAGAAGGTCATGTGCAACTCTGATTCTTGAAATTGGTATGCAACAAACATCAGTTTCTTGGGAGGCATTTAAATAGAAGAATAATCTGCACCTTTGGTTGCCAATCTTAGCAATAAGTTGGGGAGTTATCCATACTTTGTCAAGTTGGATCCAAAATATCAATACCAATTTGAACTCTTGGTCACTCGTGCTAGTTCATTGACACTAGATCAAGAAGCAGAAATATTTGTTAGTGGTATATGAGATTAAATATTTGTGGGGGTTGAGTTGCATGAAGCACTTAGTTTACAACTGCCATAAGCCTCACTTGATTATATAAAAGAAGGGGTGATTCTTCAAAATCAGAGAACTGTTCCAGGTGACAAATAGGTTATCTTCTTCTTCCTGATTGCTCTTTGTTAAGCATTGAAGCCAAGAGAAATTGATAAGAGGAGACTGAAATGATTGTGTTTTAATTATGAGGAAATGGTTTGTGCCTGGTATTGCTGTAAGCGCCGCTTTTGTTTTAGAAGTGATTGATGAACCAAACTTAAACTCTTGGGATGTCTATGACATAAGAGGACAAAGTGGAATCTGAAATTTCTCCATGCAATAATTGCCATATGCTATTCCTGAACACTGTAGATTGAAGGATTGTGTTGTTAAATCACCGAGACGATGTACATAGATTAAAATAAAAGCAATGGAGAGAGAGTAGAAAGAATTTTAACGTGGTTTGGCAATTCTGGTCTCAGGAAGCACCAGAGATGGGTTCAGTCTGATAGTGTGCTCGGGTTCTGTACTGGAATTGTGCTGGGGCCTGTTTTGTGCCTTTAATTGTGCCCTGGGGTCATGTGTAGCTAGTTTTGGTCCTAAGATGGTGCCTGAAATGAGGTCTAGGTAGTTCCAAAATCGAGCCTGAAGCTGATGCTCTAGTTTACCTATTTTTATTGCATTAAAAATAATGTTAAATAAGTAAGATATAATAATACAAATATGATTGCAGTATTACCTTATTAATTTTTTTTGAAGAAGTATTACATTATTACCTTAATTTCTTTTTCCTTTTGTTTTTATGATTCTTTAGTGGGGGATCCCTTATCCTCTGGGTCAACATCATATTTTTCCTCTTTTTCTTCCTAATAAATCTTCTTTTTTTTTATTTTAAAAAATTATTTTTTCTCCTTGTATAATCAAATATTTGAATGTGATAAATATTAGATTACACAATCGTTTTATTACATTACATCCTTGTTTTTCTGAACGAAACAAGACTTCAGTTTTCTTTCATTCCCGGCTGCAGCTATTCTACATATTCTGCATATTTGAGATCCTGTTGCAGCATTTTAATGATTTTTAGCTGTTACCAAAGAAAAAAGAGATCTGTTAATTCTATCAAAAAGCTTTTGCATTTCTTGTTTTGATCTTGATAATGACTTGCATCTATTTTTCTCCGTGCTCAGTTTTTCATGGATGAGTGCTTACAAAAGCTTATTGATAGAATTGACCTGGGCAAGGACTTGCAGAACTTGATTCCAAGTAAGCATATCTCCAAGCTTGTTAGAATTAGACTAGAAATGCAAGCTCCTTATATCTCAAAATGGCCTCAAGCTTTGAGCATCCAGGTACTATCTTTGGCTTCTTTCTCTGATTAGGTTGTTTGCTTCTGTGGAGCTTGAATTCTTGAGAATATTGGTTCCTTGCTGTCTTCACAGGCACACCCACAGAATATATCGACAAGCTTTAAGCAGCGGGCTATGCTGGTTGATGAGATATGGCATGCTGCAGGTGATGAGGGCTCTGACATAGATTGGTATGTGAAACGCACTATACTTGGAGGAATATACTCAACAACTGAGGTTTTCATGTTGACTGATAGCTCCCCGGGTTTGTTTCATTCTTTGACAACATTTAAGTTCTGTTTAAAATATTTCTTAATTTTAATTTTCTTAATTTATATTTTATTCCAAAATCATATAGGTTTCTTAACAATAACTAATAGTAAAAGATTATGATAGATTAGAAATTTATTAAATATTATTTTTAGTATTTTTCTAAAAAACTGTTTTATTTGCAATTTGATTATTTCACAAATATACAATTTTACATATTTTTATGAATAAAATACATGTATATATATACATGAACTTAGAAAATAAAAACTAAAGAATATTTCACATACTAGTAGGAGCTTTAATTTTGAATTTTTGTTTCGTGATAGAATTTTGTGACACATGGGCTTTCTTGGAAGATCGAGTGAAAGATGCATTTGATATGAAGAAGACCATTCAAGAAGTAGGTTTTTCAAGTTTCTATTGTTGCTTGATTTTGTGTTTTCTTTATTTCCTTGCTGAGGGAGTTATACTTGGTACAGGCAACGTACTTGGCAGAAGCTGTTGGTGCGGGAATGGGAAGTTCTTTGCAAAAGTTTTTGACTAATGTTCTTCCGAAATGACAACCAATTATGGATTATTCGAAGGAAGCATATTGTTTGCTCTCTGGGTAACTTATGAAAATCCTACTATTTACGCAAGTATATTGCTTGTCTTGCCATTATCTATAGCTTCCACTGGGGACAGAATCTTGGAGCAGATATTTTCACTTCGATGGTGGTTTGCTGGTCCTTTCAAGTGTCTTCTTTAGTTGGGCATATTTAGTCCAATTGGGGGAGAATTCTGTGCTGCCCTGGGTTGAACTAACACCATGCGTGGTTTTACTTTGATGAGGAGCTGCCATATGGGAATGGTAATCTTTTTTAAGACGTTACCATTAAGTTTAGCGAGCTGTCTTTTTTTTTTTTTTTTTTGTTTTTTTGTGTGGATACTGGGATTTTTACATCTAGCCTTTTGTTACTAATAAATTGATGCTTTTATTTATTATTATTATTATTATTCTTTTGGTCTTTTTATTTCCAAGAAGTTAATTGGAAGCATATTTTATTTTGGTTTTTATTTTTAAAAAATAAATTAATGGGTAGTAAAGTTTATTTTTCAATCTTTTCTTAACCAACAAATAAATTGCTGTTACTGATTCTTCAAAATTACTTGTCAGCAGTCAGGTAGGTTTGTTTGTTTGTTGTTTTTTTTTTTTTTTTGCAATCCAATTTTTTAACTATTTATTGTTCAGATTCGGAAGTCAATTGCTGTTGCAAATAAATGGGAATGATTTTTTATTAGAAGTTTTTTATTTAAAAGCTTGAAAATTTGTGGCTTATTTTAATTTATCATGTAAAAGCAAAAAAGCTACAGACCTGGAAAAAAAAAAAAACAGAGTACGTAAAGAAAAAAAGATGAAGTATACTGAAAAATTTTGTGCCATGGCCATGAGGACACTATGTAATCATTTCAATTCCAATGTCAGAATGGTTTTAACGTCCACTAATTTTAAAATTTTATTATTATTATTATTAATTTTTTTATTTAGTTTATTTTATAATTTTTAAATTTTAATTGATTAATTTAATTTAATTTAATAAAAATAAAATAATAATAATGATAAAATTGGGTAAAAATATTATTTGGATTTAATTGAAATTGATTTTGAGAAAAATAGGTGAAAATTTAGATTCTATGGGTATTTTTGAAAAGAAAATCGGAAACTGGGGGGTTAAAACGCAATTTAGAAAAATTGTGCCCCGTCAGAGCCACGTCAGCGGTCCAGTCAGCAGCCCTAGCCAACCAACCAGGACCTGCCGCGTGGCAAGACCACGTCGACCCGGGAACAGGCCACGTGGCCGATCCGCGTGCGCGCGATCGGACAGACCAGATGCGTCCCCGCGCGCACGGACGGTCCAGATCAAGCGTACGCACGGATGGCCTATATGCACGTGCACGGACGGCCCAGATCCAATCAAGTACGAACGGTTCAGATTTAATCAAGATGGACGGCTGTGATTAAAAGGGAAAAAGGTATAAATAAAACCCCCACACCTGACCACAAAAACCCTATCCGTTTGCCCTCGTCGGAGAAGACGAACCAGACGCCGGAGGAGCCGGCCACCGCCACCCGCCGCAGCACCGGGGAGTTTTCCGACCGCTGATCGAGGTAAATTTCATACCCCCGGCTCATTTTTCAATGCTGAGTTTCCCTGTGGCCAAATCGGAGCCAAAATCCCGGCCAAACGGCCGGAAAACACAGCCGAAACCCAGCGGCGCCACCGCGCCCCTCCTCGATTTTTGCCTCCGATGAGGCCCTTCCCGGCCTCCGTTTGATACAATTTTTATATCACCGTGATCACCATTCTTTTCTCTACAGGTTGATCGGAGCCAAATCACCAAAACACGAACCTCGCCGGAGAGCTGCCGCACCCGAGAGCACCGCTGCCGGTAAGCTTCGATTTTTCGTAATTTTTTGGCCCCCCGAGGGCCCTAGGGTTGTTTTATCGCAGGGACTGATGCAAGTGTGGCCGAATTCGGCCGGAAACGGCCGAAAATGGCCAACCCGAGGCGAATCGCCGCCGCCATCGTCGGAGCACAGCGGAGCCGCCGTGCCGGAATTGCGATATTGGCTGAAAGGGGCCCTGGGTCTAATTTGGGATTTTTTGGAACACGTGCAGGTACCAGTAGTGCGTTTCAGTTCCCTGAAAAAAATTCAGAGAAATTTAGGGACAGCCTGTAAGCGCATTGTAGAGCCGTATTCGGACCCCGAAACAAGTAAGGACCCCTCACCCTATTTCCTATCACGATATTAAAGTTCAATAAATGATAAAACGGTATTTCATGAATCAACAGATGTGTGAAATTGTTTAAGGTCGCTAATGGAGCCCGAGTCTGGTGTGTTTGTCGGTTAGCTGTTGTTTGGCCTATTTTACGGTTTTAAATGCAGTATGAGCTCTGATGTTTTCATTTCATAGTTTCGTGTGCATATATTACTGTTTTATTGATTATGGGTTGAATGACTGAGAACCCGATGTTGTATGTTGTCTTGTTTGGCATAAATTACTGGTTTGCTTGTTTGTATATGAATTGATGATGCTGACTGAGGAAAAGGGGAATGAAAGGTTATGTGAATTGATAATTGTATAATGTGGTCAGCCTGACTAGATATCCTGGGAGATGGTGGACGGACCGGCTCCGTAGGGAACCCTACCGGGATTGTGGTCTCTCATACCGGACGGAGTATGGAGACCTTATGTGTTTTGGCACCCATACCGGACGGGGTATGGGGACGGCCCGTTTCACCCTCATAGCTGTAGCGCCCGGGAAATTGAAGAAAAAAAAAAAAAACGCGCGCGCCACGTCAGCAACCACGTCAGCAGACCCAGTCAGCTGTCCTGGCCAACCAGGACCTGCCACATGGCAAAACCACGTCGATCCGGGACGGGCCACGTTGGCGATCCGCGTGCGCGCGATCGGACGGTCCAGATCAATCGCGCGCACGGACGGCCCAGATTTAATCGCACGGACGACCCAGATTTAATAAAAAACGGACGGCTCAGATTAAATCAAAATGGACGGCTAAGATCAAAAGGCAAAAGAGTATAAATAGAACCCCCACACCAGACCACAAAACCCTAGCCGCCTGCCCTCGCCGGAGAAGACGAACCAGAGCCGGCCGCACCCACCCGCCGCCGCACCGGGGGAGATTTTCTGACCGCCAATCGAGGTAAATTTCATACCCCGACTCGTTTTCCACGCTGATTTCTCCAGTGGCCAAATCGGAACCAAAATCCCGGCCAAACGGCCGAAAGCCAGCGGCGCCGCCCCGTCCCTCCTCGGTTTTTGCCTCCGATGAGGCCCTTCCCGGCCTCCGTTTAATGCAATTTTTATATCACCGTGATCACTATTCTTTTCTCTACAGGTTGATCGGAGCCGAATCACCAAAACACGAACTTCACCGGAGAGCCGCCGCACCCGAGAGCACCGCCACCGGTAAGCTTCGGTTTTCCGTAATTTTTTTGCCCCCCGAGGGCCCTAGAGTTGTTTAATCGCAAGGATCGATGCAAGTGTGGCCGAATTCGGCCGGAAACGACCAAACCGAGGCGAAGCGGCAGCGTCGTCGCCGGAGCACGGCGGAGCCGCCATGCCAGAAATGTGATATTGGCCGAAATGGGCCCTGGGCCTAATTTGGGATTTTTTGGAACACGTGCAGGTACCAGTAGTGCATTTCAGTTCCCCGGGAAAAATTCAGGGAATATTAGGGACAGCCTGTAGGCGCACTGTGAAGCCGTGTTCGGACCTCGAAAAGTGTAAGGACCCCTCACCCTATTTCCTATCACGGTATTAAAGTTCAATAAATGATAAAACGGTATTTCATGAACCAACGAATGTGTGAAATTGCTTAAGGTCACTAATGGAGTCCGAGTCTAGTGTGTTTGTCGGTTAACTGTTATTTGGCCTGTTTTACAGTTTTAAATGCAGTATGAGGTTTGATGTTTTTCATTTTATAGTTTCGTGTGCATATTTTACTGTTTTACTGATTATGAATTGAATGACTGGGATATTGATGCTGTATGTTGTCTGTTTGGCATAAATTACCGTTTTGCTTGTTTGTATGTGGATTGATAATGCTGACTGAGAGAAAGGAGAATGAAAGATTATGTAAATGGGTAATTGTATAATGTGGTCAGCCTGACTAGATATCCTAGGAGATGGTGGACGGACCGGGTCCGTAAGGAACCCTACCGGAATTGTGGTCTCCCATACCGGACGGAGTATGGAGATCTTATGTGTTTTGGCGCCCATACCGGACGGGGTATGGGGACGACCCGTTTCACCCTCATACCGGACGGGGTAATGAGGTTTATAGCTTTGGCGCTCATACCGGACGGGGTATGGGGACAGCCCTGGAATATGATTTCAAGTGTTAAGGGTTAACGGGTAGCGGGATCCCTATGGATCCCCATGGATACTAGTGGGCTGGTAAACGAGAAAAATATATTGTGTAACGATTGTATTACGAAAAGCTTGATAAGTATTACGTTATACAGTTTATATATATGATTTCATGATGATGATGATGTTATTGTTTTCGTATATTGATTTATGAATTTCATCGAGATAAGTGAATGGTAAAGGTTTTATTATTGATAAAAGGTTTTGTTGTAAATTATGCTCCATTGGTCTTTTGTGTTTTCTACCCACCTTTACCTCCGTGACGGTGAGATATCGTGATGTCTTTACTGGGCTAGTGTAGCTCATTCCTTATTTAATCATTTCAGATCAGGAAGACCTTATTCCCGAGCCAATTCCGCAGGAGGACGACGAAGGGGACGCCTAAAGACTCCATAGCCGTATTTGTAGCTTTTACTTTCAAGTTTCTCCTTTAGGTAGTTTGATCTTTTATATTGTGAGCACGTTTTTGGTTTTAGTGTAAGGGATGTTAATCGAATTTTTGACTTCGCTTCCGCATTTGATATTTTTAATATACATTCCATTCTAAATTTTCGGGGCCGTTACAATACCGGACGGGGTATTGAGGTTTATAGTTTTGGTGCCCACACCGGACGGGTTATGAGGACGGCCCTGGAATCTGATTACAAGTGTTAAGGGTTCACGGGTAGCGGGACCCCTATGGATCCCCATGGATACTAGTAGGCTGGTAAATGAGGAAAAATATGTTGTGTAATGATTGAATTGCAAAAGACGTGATAAGTATTATGTTATACAGTTCATATGATTTCATGATGATGATAATGTTATTGCTTTCGTATATTATTTTATGAATTTCACCGAGATAAGTAGATAGTAAAGGATTTTATTATTGATAAAAGAATTTGTTGTAAATTATGCTCCATTGGTCTTTTTGTATTCGGTGAGATAGTGTGATGTCTTTACTGGGCTGGTGTAGCTCATTCCTTATTTAATCATTTCAAATCAGGAATACATTATTTCCGAACCCGTTCCGCAGGAAGACGGTGAAGGGGACGCCTGAAGACTCCATAGTCATATTTATAGCTTTTATTTTCGAGTTTCTCTTTTAGTTAGTTTGTTCTTTTATACTTTGAACACGTTTTTTATTTTAGTGTAATAAATGTTTAATCAAAATTTTTATTACGTTTCCGCATTTGACCTTTTTAATATACATATTTTATTTAAGAATTCCAAGGCCGTTACAATGGTAGTTGTTTCTTATTTTCTAGGTCTACATACTTTTTAAGTGTCTGTTTATATTCGGTCTACTGTCTTTAATGACATATATTTTCACCTCTGGGGTAACTGAGACGTGTCCTAATCCGCTTTTTGTAGTAGTAAATGTCTCATGCTGCTCTTTGAGGGGAAAAAATTTACTAGTCTTCTAATGTTTACACAAGAAATAAAGTGTATGTATTAAAAAATATTTTATGATTAGAGGTATCAATTATGAAGTTATTTTTATAATATTATTTGAAGTATGCATTTAGAGATTATGTTAAAGTATTATACATTATGTATATTAATGCAACCTAATATTTATAATGATGTATAAATATTATATGCATAAACAGTATGTATATATACATAGAAAGAAAAATAAATTTTATATATGCTAGTATAAGAAATATATTAATCTAGTTTACCTTTACTTTGCTATCTTAATTTAGAGGGATTTTTTATTTACTAGCGGATATAAGATAATCAATTTCCCTTCATTTTCCATTTAATCTAAAATATTAACTTGTAAATAAAGCCCTTTATCCCCCTTCCCTCTTCTCCTCTATTCCCCTCCATCAGTCTTACCCTAACTGCATCAATAAGCTAAAAGGTTATCTTCAAAGTGGCAGTAAACAAAACAGTACCTGCTCTCTAGTGAGAGAGAGAGGTCAGGGCCCAGAACTGACGCTTATAAGCTACAATGCCATAATTCACCGGAGTAAAGTGAAGGCAACAGTGTCCGATGACAATGACAAAAATATTTGAAGAAAATGTAAGCAACGGAATTCATCCAACTGTTCTTTACAAGTTTCAGAAGGTGTAAAAGCTCTTTATGCAAGCGTTTTATACGTATCTGTTGGCATCAACAACTACAGCAGCCTCCAAACAGGAGCAGATTAGAATCTCTTTGTAACAGAAGGACAAAGTGTTCATGTACATTAACAACTTGGAGAAGATCAACTACTCCACCTTATAAAATAAAACAAGATTACAACTGTCAAAAACATTCCCAAATATTTGATCAATCTATCCATTCGGTTCCGCCTCTCAATTAGCCTCAACACCGAGTTTGAGAGCCCCACTGTATTGAGAACATCCAGAGCTTTCCGTTGTGCCCTCTGAACATAAATTTTAGGTAAATTTTACAAGTTTTGATCAACTTGTTAGAAGCAAAAACCATGTCAGTGTGCATAAAAATTGTCCATTTGTTTTTTAATAAATTTCTTCTCACAATTGATTAGCCTAAGGAACAACAATTGACCTGGATTTAGTTTTTACTAACTATAATCCATGAGAAGTCACAGGTCCACAACACATACTGTCCAATTGATTAATTCTTATTTCATTTCTAGTTAATAATTCCTAAACTTCATTTTTAAACTAGTCTAAAATCATGTTATAGTTCCACACTTCAGAAACTAATGTACAAGTACAAGAATTAATCAAACAGAATGAAATTGAACCAAAGGAGACTTAATTCCATTCTGTTTTTCATAAAATTGGCTGGGCACAACCTGTATTCCTCTCCCAATCAGTAAGAAGGAAAACATTGCACTTTCAATTACTAATAGAATTCTATTAAGTATTGTTTTCAGGGTTTTATACTACTAACAGAGGTAGATAGCTAAGACAATGAAAATGTTATTTGATTCATTCTTATAAACAGACTAAACAGAAATCTCAATACAACTGCTTAGTCATGCAGATAGTCCAGTTCCCATATATTAACATGTTCTAACCTTATCAGCCTTCTTACGATAATCCAAGTCCCCAACAAATAGATTAGCAATTACTTCTGTTTTTGGGTTGGGTTATTGCAATCCTCATAAGTACCCACAACTACGAGGCTACTGCCCGGGTCTAGAATAGACATAAATTAACAGAATCTTCTAATGCAATAAAGTACATAAAATTAGTTTCTACCAACTCTACAGAGCTCAAATTTTCCTTTGTTTCAGACCTCAGTAAATGATGGCAAAATATATTCCTTATTGGATTGATTAACTGAATTTTGAATTATATAAATCAGAAGAACATATCCAGATAAACATTTCAGCTTCAACTTCTTTTTACCAACTTAAATCCAGTGCGCATGTCCTGATAGGAAACACCACTTGTACATAAGGTGCATCAGAGACCCTGGACTGCTGAACCATTATAATTTTATTTCAAAGCACATGATTGATAACCCATTTCTCATGTTATCCATTTTGACACCTCAATACCACAAGTCTACTATCGGTTATTTAAGAATTACAGTACATATTATCTCCTTTGCTCCATTGCACGGAACTGTGTCCTTTGTCTCCTATCTCTCAGTTCATGTTCATGAGAAGTGCATGGCAAAAGGCTAAAAGGAAAGAAAAATACCTTCAGGCGTTCCCTTTGTTCTGAATATTTTGAAAGGATAGCTGTTCCAGTTGCAAAAGATTCTTCTAGCATCCTCTTTGAGTTCTGGACTGACTGCATTGCTTGGGCTTCCTCATCAAACACTGTCAATACATGCTCTGAGCCTCCTCTCTAGAATATGAAATAAACTCTATTAGATGGTAACAAGAAAGTGAAGCCATCAATGACCACAATATCATTAATCTTTTCAAATCACTACTAGAGAATAGAGAAACATACAGCTCTTCCAAGCAATTCTGTCCTTTCTTTGGCTTCCATCATTCTTCTCTGACTTCTCAAATTGTATCTCTCCAAACTTTGGTTCAAAGATTCACACTCTTCCACTACTTGTTCAACTTTTCTGTGTCAACATAAGTAGCATTCTATTGACTTACAACCTTACACGTGTATAAGAATAGAATCATTCATCAATTAATCCAATATAGAGTAGAACTCATTCATCAATCACCAATACATCTATTTAACCAAAACAATTTTAATTTTTTTTACTAATGGATTTGTTAGAAATTGTGCATGCATTTGTAAGACATATGTGCATGCAGAGGTTATTTTATTTTTTTTTTGCAGCTACCTTTTCCAGAGATCACGCTGGGGTCGGGCAGAGATGGAGCGCCAGAGGTGATCCATTTCTGAGCAAAGGGAGCGGAGCTTGGTGATGTCCTTCTTGACAGCGGAGGAGAGGTCAGTGGAATCCATGGTGGTGGAGTAGTCAAGGCGCTCGAGATGCTCAATCCCGTCTCTGGCTCGCAGGAGCAGCCGCTTAGAACTGCCATATATATCAGACAATGTCGCGCCTCCACCTCCTCCTTCCATTGGTAAATTGCCTCCACACTCTTTAATACTCAGCACGTCTGCTTTTAGATAGAGAGTAAGAGAGTCTTGCCGGTAATTTCCTGCTTTATCACTTCCTGTGGGTCGAGAATGTGACAGAAAGAAAGAAGATTTGAAGAATTTTTAGAATCAGATCTTTCACCTGCAATTTTTAAGGGAATTGAGCTGTCAGTAGTACAAAGCAGTTTACACATTCCAGCTTCATGTCTTCTTAAGTAATAAAATTTGCCCTATCTGCGTATATTTTACAGATAGAAGTGGAAAAGAAAATACATACATATCTTCCATTTGTCACAACAGGCCACGAGGTGAAAAGAAACCTAAAATACTTTTATTATAGAAAGAATCGCCAAATCCTATTAAAAAAGGGATTGGATGCTAGAAAATTCATTTGTCTTAATTTAGAGATTCTTAGCTCAGGAATAATATGGAGTAAGAAGGTGTGAGGCATCTACCCGTGATGTAAACTAAATAATGGTGTAATTTGCAAGCATATCCATTAAAGTCCTATCTAGGGTGCAAATGTGTGATAATATCATTCGTTCATAATTCAATCCACAAATTAAAAATGAGAAGTTAAAATATATCGTGAAGAAAAATAAATTAAACGAGTGTGAAATAATACAAGGAAAAAAGACTTTCTTTTTTCTTCCAAGTTCTCCATCATTTCTCGCTCAGAAAAAGGGTTCAGTAAGATAAAACTGATTCTTATTGTCTTATTATTATTATTGTTGTTGTTGTTATTTTATATTTCTTTATATTATTTGTTACAATCCCTACTGGCAGATTACACTATGGAACAACTCATGATGAAATCAGTAGGTATAACTGGATAATTTTTTTTCCGATTTTCTACCTTTATTTATCTTCAGAAATTAAATAAAATAATTAAGATTCATTGGATAGAGAGAATCCTATGGTCTCTAGAGTAAAAAAGGGATTGGATGCTAGAAAATTCATTTGTCTTATAATAGACTTATTTCCTACCTTTATACATACTTGACACTTATTTAAACACACTTACATAGAGATTACATAATAAACATTAAAAAACACAGAAAAAGAATTATTCCTTTTTATTCCTCCTTTGATAAACCTTCAGGTAAGGAACTAATGTTCCTTCCATTATTATTATTGCTTTTAGTATTCCTTGTAATAAATCAAAACAATTAAGAAAACATAAGCTTTCAAAAAATCAAGAAAATATAATCCTATAAATTAATTTTCAATATCAAATAGCAAGGGACCCAGTCAATCTAATAACAAAACTTTACTATTCCAAATGATATCACTCTGTTTGATTTTTAACCTAAATGATGATAAAGAGTAACACATCTTCCTTATTTATCGAAAAAAAAAGATTAAACAGTGAGAAAACTCTACTATTTCTAGCCCAAAAGAAGGAAAATTTTAGCTTTCAAAACATGGATGCTAGATTCACGGTAAAATCGTTTTATAGGCAGACTGTGGGGGCTGGGCAGAAAAACACACCCCTCTTCCCTTCAACCCAGATTTGGAAATCCAGAGTTCGGTCTAGAATTGCTTTCTTTGTGTGGGAGGCTAGTAGAGAAAACATATTGATACTTGATAAGCTGAAGACAAGAGGACAGATTGTGGTTAATGGGTGTTTTATGTGCAAGAGAGCGGAAGAATCATGCTGTCACTTCTTCACTGCCAGGCTGTTCATGAGCTACGGTGCCAGATTTATAGACTACTCGGTATCAATTTGGTAGTTTCAGACTCGGTTTTTGATGAGAAGGCTTGGAATGGGATAGACCTGAAAAAGAATATTGTTAAGATCATTCCTTTAACCATTTTTTGGATCATTTGGAAAGAAAAGAATAGGAGAGCTTTTGAAGGGAATAGAGATGGATACTAATAGACTAAGAGAGTTATGGTTTAATTATTTTGGATACATTATTTTGAGTCATGACATCATTAGAGATGAGGATTTTGGAGATGTTATTGATACCCTAGTAACTTTGTAAATTTGCAAATGGGTGGTACTCCCATTGGTACCCTGTTAATATATATTTACACTTTATTTAAAAAAAAAAAAAAAAAGAACATGGATGCTAGGCAGGAAGCAAGAAAACGGTGAATAAACCATGAATAGGACATCAATTCAATGACCAAGTAATGAAAAATCAGTGAATGAACAAGGGTCAAAACAGTGACATTTCTAACAACAATCTCTTTCTGATTTAATCCAAAACAAAAGGAAAGATATAAACACGAATAATGTTCTAACGTCCTCACTGATTTAAACCTATTTATGCTCTCAGCAAGAAAACTTCTATTAAAAAAAATTTAGGGAAAATTGCATCATGCATTATACTCAAATGATATAGAAACCCATCACTGTCCAAACAAAATCAAAACCTATCCACTATCCTGTTTTAATATTTCAAAAAAAAAAACCTATTATCCTGTTTTTAAGTTTCATACTGCCTTGGAAATTTGTATATGGAACAAGAAAAGGAAGCAAATTTGCAAGACTCGGAATATCCCTAGACAATGTGGATCTCTCCTTGCCTTTCCTTTTTCTTACTGCTTCTCACTCAAAAAACCCAAATATGATCTCTTCCTTCACAATTTTAAATTCCCAGATAAACCCAGAAATTTTTTTTTCTTTTCTCTGTTCCTTACCTTTCTAACCTAGAAAGCTAACACTTCTCTCCAATTTTTCCCTCTCAATTTTCAGATATTGTGTCCACCCCCCTTTTCTCTGTCTGCCTCCTTCATTTAATAGACTCAAAAATCCGTACGTACTCTCCACTTCAAGCCCTAGCCTGCTCTCTCTCTGTCCTCAAGGAACCAGAAATACCATTTTTTACAACCACCAGATGATGGAAGACAAAAAAAGGACACTGGAAAAACATAATATTTCAATAAAATTCAAAGGGAGTTGCCATTAACTCATTTAAGTTGGAATTATACACCAAAACATGCACTGGTCGATTTAAAGAAATTTGGGTTTGCGAAATAGTCTCATATATAAATGCATATGTTCATAGATTTTCGCTGAAAAAGTTTTCTATTTTAATTTTAATGAAATTAAAAAAGTGATCAAGAGAAAACAATCTTCAAAAGGTATATGCATAAATCACAACTAGCCTCTAATTTTTGAGCACATGCTCTTCAACCTCCTATATCTTCTTTAACATCAAATTAGACATTCAAAGTACTTTTTTTAATACCAAAAACCTAGGACCAAGTTTTAAATAGGAAAATAAACAATGGCAGCAACTAAAAACTTCTGTAACCCACTTTGGACTTCAAACAAAATTAATAAAATATAATCAATGCCAACAAAAATCAACACAATAAAGGAATCTAAAATGGGAGGCTGGAGGCAGGCTGTGGCACAAACCAAACGACTAATAGGAGTCAAACTACAACTTATATCCCTTGTGCAAACAATAGACAATACAACTGAAAAGAAATATTGCTTGCACATTACCAAACAACCTACAATAGAAAGCTAAATAGAAGGAAATGGACAAAATGCCCAAAACAATCACCAGAAACCAAACTCCATTGGAAACAAAATCCACTAAGCATAATTGTATGCATGCTCAAATAGTAACTTAAACTCCCTCATGTACCCAATAATAGAAACAGAAGTAAAAAGGCTTAAAACGAAGGTGCATCAACCCAAACATTCATTTTCACCCCACATCAACACAGAAGAAACATTAGAGAAAAGCTTGACAAAATGAAATGCTGAAAATCTGATCAATTTTAAAATTTAAAGAAATCTCCTTAACGCCCAATTGAAAATCATTATTCTACAATAACGAAGGATGCATGGCACAGCATCTAGAACAAAGCAAACTGAACAAACAGAAAGAAATCTTTGACTCTGACCATTGTTAACGAAAGAGTAACGTGACAGTTGCATTGGCATTAATTCATGCTCGTAAGAAGTTTGCAAACCCATCATACTCCATACTCCCAAAGTCAATCACAAATCAAGTACATAAAATTCCGTTCTAACTGTTCAGTCGACTCCAGAACCAAGTTCAAGTTATTATCTGCAGAGATCTATTTTAGAATAAATGAAAAAGAAAGTGAGCTTGGTTATACCGCAGCAGATCCCTTTTTCCCTATGACTTCAGGCTAGCCGAACATGTGGAAGGAAAATATTTTTCCTCTGCCGCTTCCTCAGCAGAACACTCTTCAATCCTTCTATAATTTCTCTCTCTCAGGAACCTCAAGACCCCGAAATCCTCCTCCTCCCTCTCTCGATTTCCCTCTCTTTTCCTGTTCACTCTGCCTTCTGCTCTCAAACCCTCTAACTCCCCAGAGTTTCCATTTGTCTTTCCTTCCCAAGAATGAATCCTTAGAGCTCTCTCCTCTCCGAAATCACCTCTATTCTGACGTGTAAAAGATAATATATATTTAATTATTTTTAATAAAAATAAAAAATAAAAAATAAAAACATAAAGTTTGAAGAAATAATACAATAACCAATGTAAATGTACATGAAATATTTTGGTCCTTTTTGTGTTCTAAATTGGGTTATAAGTTTTGGATTCTTTGAGGCAGCAATGCATAAGGAAATGACTAGATACTATCGCAAAATGAAAAAGAAATCATATACAGATAATTTCATAACTAGATATAATGAATGTATGTAAGAAGGAGAATGAATTCACCGTATCTGAGAGAAGATGGCCGACGTCGTTTCTGAATGCTAGACCGAGATTCTCCCGAATAATCGAAAAATATTTCGCGTAGATTAGGGCGTGCAAGTGTGTCGGTCACTCGGTGATGGGAAAGAAGAAAAGGAAAGCACGATGTTGTGGGTTGAGGAAACAAAAAAAATAAAGAGGGTTTTATGGATATGGCAGAGAGCGGGAGAGAAGAAGGTGATTGGCAAAAGAAGAATCTGGACGGCGACGGATAGCACTGGTCCGTGAAGGGGAAATTTTGGTCGTTTGATGGGTGAAGGTCAGCAAAGAGTGAGGAGAGGGCAGGGGGTTTGTGAATGGAGGGTGAGAAGGAGGTGGGTTAAATGCCAGAGAGAAGAGGGAAACACCTATCTCAGTTGTCATTCATCACTTTTTCCAATCACAAGCCGACACGTCAACGCATTGTTGGCACATCTTTAATTTATGTTTTTCTATTTTTTTAATTAGGAAACCAATTATATAAAAAAAATATAAAAAAAAAAATTTGTTGAACAATGAATTATAAATATTAATTTTTAACCTATATTTGTATTGTTACTATTAATTTCTTATCATATCAAAATTAAAATACTATTAATTATGACAATATATAATAAATAAAAATATTATATAAAATAAATATATTGATGATCCTATAACCAAATACATGATTTCTTAAAAAAATAAAGAAAAGTAGTATATAAATTAAAATATTATAAATCATCATTTATACAGTCATTATTAAATATTTAATAATTAATTAATATATACATAATATTATATACTGATAACATTAAATTCGGATATATTCTCTTTCATGTACTTAAACTATTATTAATGAGATAGATTTATTCTACGCAGTAATTATTTAATTTATATGTTAATTGTTTTATGATTAATATACTTATAAAATTCTTTTTATGTACATGTAAATCTATCAATACATATACCATACGAGAGTTATTACATATGTGTGTGTATACCCTATGCAGCACATATGCATCTTTTCCTGCATATGATGTATAGTTGTTATACGTGTGTGTATATATATATATATATATTTGCATGCGTGCGTATGTGTACGATGTATAAATGTATTTACGGTATGTATATATTTGTTTACTTGTGCCTACGGAATGCTTTCCTGGGGCTTAAGAGACGGGAAATGTATCACCAGATGCCACGTATAGGTATGGAAGTGAGACATGCCCAAGAAATTAAACTGAAGAGGTGATTTCAGGTTCTTCAGCCAGCCCATTACCATTACGCATAATCGACCAGATCGTTTCTCCATAAAATACTGAATACTTTCATTTTCCAAATAGTTAATTATTTTTACGTGTATTTAAATTAATTTTCTAAATAACTAATTAGATGTATGTGTTAAACCAATTACAAATCAATTACATGCATCTGTTAATTTAATTCTTAAAATTAATTTTTAAAATAATTAAAATATTATATCCATGTATATTATATTATTGCCAGGGATATGGCTGCATCAGATTCTGATATATTTAATTTATAAAAGATTATAAATCTATCTCATAATCGCAGAGAACGAATCCATCCATGGCTACTGCATCCGAGATTGCAAAAAAATTGAAGATGACCCCCCACCCAGAAGGCGGTTTTTACATCGAAACTTTCAGAGATACTTCCGTTCTTCTCTCCAAATCTCAACTTCCCTCTCAATGTAATTTTCTTCCCCTTCTTTTCTTTTTTGAACTTTTTACGTTCGCCGTTGACTTTCTTCTTAATGTTCTTTATGATTATGTTTCTTCTCTTGATTAGAAATTTACTCTGTGGGATCTCTGTCTGATTATTTAACACGTCTCCATCCTATTGATTGATGTCCTTTCTTTACTTCCCTTTTTCGGATGCGCTTTTATTTCCGGATTTGCTTTGAATGAATCTCGCACGTCAATATCGTATAAAAAGAAACTGAGGGCTAAGCTCTGTCATTTACCTTCATCTGATTCCTGTTAGTATCGAAAATTGGATTTGCATTTGGTTTGAAATCATGAGTGACAACGCTTGAGTCCGCTCATCTGAGGGTCTATACTACAATCCGTAATCCAATAATCCGATGCTGACCGAGGGGTTTTATCTGCTGTCTATTCACGATTCTGCTTCGTGTGTAACCATGAGTTATCCTGTAACTCCTTGCTTGGCGTGGGGTAATGATCTAAGGAATGGAATAGTTTTATACAAAAGATTAAAATATTAAGAGTTAAGCAGGCAATGTTTTGATCACTTGACGTTTATCTGATTTATAATTAATAATCTTCTTATGTCTGCAGTTGAATCATTCAGCTTCTTGTCTTTTCAATGTTAAAACCAGTATAGTTTGTCAGATTTCAATATTCAGGGATGTCTGATTATGTCATTACTCATTTTAGAAGTCATAATTTGCATAAGAATGAATAATATTGAATGAAAAATAAACTCTCTGTTCCACTTTAATCCTGAATGCGTTACAATTTGAAATCCCACTTTACTTGTTTCCATTTAAGATTCTTTGATGTAACTTCTTTTTAGCCCTCAGTTATTGTCTTTTTTAAACCTTCTTCACAGACAAAGTAGATCGTCCAGTCAGCTCTTGTATATATTTCTTGCTTCCATCTGGGAGTGTGTCACGTTTTCATCGCATACCATGCGCGGAGACCTGGCATTTTTATATGGGGGAACCTATTACGGTAATATGATTACGACTCAATTTCTTATAGACGAAATTGTATGCATCATTCAATCAGCCTTTCAGTTGGTTCGAAATTTTCTTTTCATGTTAAACAACAATTGCCACATTTCTACTGCCCGTGATTTTTGAGAGTCAAATGAATGTTGGGATTCTCAGCCATTTTCCTAAAGACAATTGTGAATATCAAAACTCATATGCTTAGAAACTGTTTGGTTTTGTGCAATCCGCCAAATCATCTGCCTTCATGAATATTTTGAGCAGAGATTAAGTAGTTATGCATCCATGCACTTTAGGTGGCCATATATGCCTTATGCATACATATAATCTTTGCGTGTACTTATCCTACAATAAGTTCCTTTCGAGACCCATTATTCCACGAGTTCACTAGTCCAAACAGGAAACAGAAGTTTACATGAGAAATTAGACAACAAATGGGTAAATTACTCAGTCATTTATGCTGCTCAAAACACATCATGAATCCAAAAGAGACAACAATTTCTTTGTTTTTTCAGAACTTCGTCAACCTCAAACTGGACTGTCTCTTATTAATCCTTTCCACTTTTCTTTCAGGTGGTTGAACTGAATGACACGGATGGGAAAATCAAACTGACATGCCTTGGACCCGACCTGGTAGGAGAAAATCAGCAGCCACAATACACCGTTCCTCCAAACGTGTGGTTTGGTTCATTTCCAACCAATGACGTATCCATTTCCCCAGATGGGATCATGCAGAAAGTTAAGCCAAGAGATTCAGAAGGAAACTACTCCCTTGTGGGGTGCACTTGTGCTCCTGCCTTTCATTTTGAGGACTTTGAGCTAGCAAAACGCACTGAGCTCGTTTCGCACTTCCCTGAACACGAAGCACTCATTTCTTTACTTACCTTCCCGGACTGAAACCGAAGTATATTTTTAGGAAATCACACACTGAGATGCTGTTTCCGTAATATTAGGAGGTGTGCTTTGAATTTTGAATATCTAGTTTGATGTATGTTTTACAATTCAGTTCAGTCAGGAAAACAAAAGGATGTTTTACTAATAATTTTCTGTTCTTGTAAGTTATTTAAGTATTTCTTATTTTAAAAATTAAGTATCATGATTTCAAATTAATATTTATATTAGAGAAAATAAATAAAAATAATTGAATTGGTATAATAGATTATTAAAAAATTTAAGTTATTAATATTTTAATTGTTATGTACTTTTTATTATTTTCTCATTTTTTTTATATTTAATATTAATTCTATTTATCAAACAAAACACTACCTTTTTCTACTAAAAATATTTTTAATAAATATTATATTATTTTTACTGAAAATAATTTCTATTGCACTTTAACAGTCTACAACAAAAATATCAGTGGGGTCAAATTCGAACCTAAATGTAATAGAAAAACTTTGGGCTCATGCATCTACCAAAACTCACTCATTCTAAATGTCAAAATATGAAAGGAAAAAAATGTCTCCATGAAGAAAAAGAGAGAAAACAAAAAGTCAAGCCGTGCCCACAAGTATATAAGAATTAATTACTTTTATGGCAGAGAGTAAAGCTAGCACTAGAATATATATATATATATATATATATATGTGTGTGTGTGTGTGTGTACATATATATCTATAACCCATTTGATCACAGGAGTTGCATCGACAACCACATTAAAAATGAATATTTTCCATGACAAATAAGGCACTTGACTCAAGCCAACAACCATTTCAACAATTGATTTTTTAATGTAAAGCAATTGCTTTCCTTTTAAATTTTTTGATTAATTAGATATCATTTTATTATTTACTTTGCCTCTTTTATTTAGATGCAGAAGGTGTTTAAAATTGTCAAATATATATATAGTTCAGTTAATAATTAAACCAAATATATTGACTCAAAAATAATAGTAAACATCAAAGGTAAGCATCTGACCTTAATAACAAGTATTGATGTACTTTTAAATTAACATAAAAAAAAAACTTCTAATAAAAAAAGTTATAGATTAAACTCTGAATTAAATCTACTGTAATTAAAAATCAATATAAGATGTGTGTGTGTGAGAGAGACTGAGAGGAAATCAATTAAAAAAAAAAATGGGATGGTTTTACTTTGGTTGAAGAGTCATGATGATGAGAGAGAGAAAAATATAAAGAAAAATTAAAGCCCCCTTTGTATTCTTCTTTTCGTGTGTCTCCCGTCTCCCTCTCTCTTTTTTCATTCACTCTCCTTTCTTTCTTTTTTTCTTTTTTTTTTTTAATTCTCTCTTCTTTTTTCATGCACAGGGACTCTCATTCTCTTTCTTTTTCTTTGTGTTTTCTTCTCCTCTTGCCTTGTAATTTTCCACTTCAAGTCTTCTCTTATAGGTGAGTGATGCTGTGAAGACCAATTTCTTTGCCTGCCCGAAAATTTTTCCGAAACTCTCGTGAATTAATTTTTATCATACTGCTGAAAATTCACAAAAAAGTTATTAATATATCATTTCCAGTTGTGTGTATGCATTTTCCTCATCTTTCTTTTTAATAGTAATGAGCTCGAACTAACAATTTGTTACTCCAGCTCATAAGAGAATATTCGCATATCAATTGCTATATTATCACTCAATCCCACCGTTTTGGTGAAGAACTGATGCTTCTCACGAGTCACTACATTAGTCAGCATGTCAGCTGAATTTTTATCAGTGAGAATCTTTTTCAATAACATTAATTGATTATTCAACACTTCACAAATTCAATGATATCTTACATTAATATGCTTAGTTCAACAATGATATGTAGCATTCTTGCTCAAATTTAAAGTATTTTGACTATCATAATTTATTACATATTCATCTTGCTTCAAACTTAATTCTTCAAAAAATCTTTTTATCCAAAACATTTTTTTACATACTTTAGTCAAAATTATGTACTCTACCTCAGTGGTAAATAAAGCAACACACTTTTGCAGTTCAGACTGTAATAATACAGCTCCTTCTGCCAAAGTAAACACATACCCTGAAGTAGACTTTCTATCATCAAGGTCGCCTGTAATATTTGTATATGCATATCCCTATAGAACTAGTTTTAGGCCTCCAAAGTATAAGATGTAAGAAAATTTGACCCAGAAGTTAATTTGCTCATTTTTTATTGAATTCAATATATTTTATATAAAAAAAAAGTAATAGAAATTTAGACCTAATACCATTCAAAGATGATGAAGTCATAGTGGATTGAGAGACCATTTAATAAAATTTTTAATTATCTGACTTATTTCTTTTATCTATCTAACTCTTATGCACAAGTATTTTAGAATTTTAGTTGATAAAAGACTCATATGAAAGATGAATTTATGCTCTTTTATAGATAAGAGAATAGACCAAAGCACATTCATGATAATTAAATGTGTTATAATCGTTTGTACTATTATATTTTAATTCTCATAAAATATAATAATTTTATAATTTATTTTAAGGTTACTCACTCCATCAATGTCTCTTTTCATTTATAACGATTATTTATTTTTTAAGGTATACTTTCAATTAACTTCAATCGTTATGAGTGGATGAAAAAAATAAAATATCATGTTAGTGGGTTATCTACTTAATTACTAGAATTAATATTTTTTCACTTGACCCACTAAATCGATTATGAAATCTATAATAATATATATATATATTTATATTAAAAATATACTTATAGATAAATGAACTTGATATGTGATTTTGATAAAATCAGCCAATAAATCCAAAATTGTTATACCATAATACTAAAATAACTTAGATTATAAATGTTAATCATAGTGATCACATGACTTCAATGTCATATTTCCTTCTATGCACCGGACATCAATAACTTTTACTTATTCAGTGCATAATGCCAAAAACAACACCTATAATTTATCTTGTTAAGACATTTTCTGCTGATTAAATGCTAAATTGTGCACCAATGATT